CTCTACCAGAAATGCGGTAAGCTAAACTGCGAGACCGGAGTGACACTGAAAAGAAATTGTACATGCGATCTTACATGCGATGTAAGACGAACTAGCGTACGAGGACAGATTTATGTAAATCTACTTAACCAACGCTATAAACTCAAACGAAAGTTTTAATTTTGAAGATGGACAGTCAGATATTCATGCTGAATATGCCATACGGCATGTGCATAATAAAAGGGAGAGACAATAGCATCATACCATTCACTTAGCAATAACTCTCAGCTAAGACAGTCGCATAGAAATAACGGACATACAAACTTCAATCGATGTCGGTCTGAGGTGAAGACAAAAGATACAATGTCAAGAGCAGTCTGTCCGTCAGATCTTACAAGCTTAAACTGCAGCGCCCTCGAAACTTGTAACAATTTTTTAAAGACCGTCAGTAATTATGGATAAAATCCCTTCTGGACAAAATCTATTTATTTGACTAGATCAGAAACTTGTACTGTAAAAGCACGAGGCAACTATGTAAGCGATGAAACAAAGTTACGGAGAGAATTTGTTCTCAGAAACAAGCACTTTAGCAATAGCTACACAAGTTACAAGTTACTTTTCAGCTGGCAGCAACCGTGGTAGACACCACAGCCCCAATTTCCGGTTACAACGGCAGGCACGGTTTCTGAGTTAAGGAAGAAACCCGCATAAGCCTAAAAGGTGTAAAAGCAGAATTTCCAAAAAGGCATGAAGAACCCTCCCTAGTTATACCTTGTTGAGATCCCGCAAAATCCATTTTGGCTTGAACTGGTCTTGAAAACGACGATAGTATTTTGCGTCGATGGCTATCAACTCTACGGCACGTCTATGGAATTTGTCCCTGAAACGATGGAATATAGACGCGTCAACAAAGCACAAAGGAAGAAAAGGAATAAAATGAATAAAGTACAAATGATAATGAAGATAAAGGCTCTGACTCGTAAACGACTACGATAATTTGGTGATAGGCAAAACTTCAGTTATAGCAGAAGATGAACACGATCAAGAAGAATTCCATGTCACTGCATTGCAACCATCAGCCAATAATCACGTAGGTAAACACAATGACGCAGAAAAATGTCATTTTCCTTTCTGAGGGATGAAATATTATACACAGTTTCTGGCAACGCTTTTGCACCGCATTTATGCATTTTCTTCAAATCGATTGGATAACCCCTCGGCTAGATTACGGTTCGTCGTTCTCCAAACAGAGGATAAACAGCAGGATGAAAAGACTTGACATGCTCCTTTCTGGAGGAAATACGGACGACCCCTTCTTATAGACAAAGCAACCTTCACTATGTCAGAGCTGCCTTAAAAGGCATGTGTCAGATTACATTTTTCAACCCATCAGTACTCACTTTCTCATTATACCGTCCGCTCAAAGTTGTCTGACTAAAGAACATTCTTCACATCGTATTTTGTCCGTGCATACGATTTCAGACTTTGGTTACTGTACGCTCACTATCACAAGAACTATGATATGTGTGACATGTGAAGGTGAAAAATCAACATTGGTATGAGAAAGCACTTCAGACTTACCTCGGAGTATCATCATAGTATGGCGCTAACCACTTAAAGGTGTTCGCATATCCCGCGTAATAGCTGAAACGTTCGAACCCTAAATCGAACAACACAAATTTAATGTGTTTACGGTTAGTTTTTGACTATATACTTATTTTATAATTGTTTATTACTTGCAATTACATGTACAAAAAATATAGTCGTACCACTCAAAGATACAAGCAAAAAAATAACATTCATTCACAGAAATAACATTGAATCACAAAAGTAATACTAACTGACTGTTCGTTTCATTTTCTACTGATCGATTCTACAGCTTTACATAATCTGCAAATCCTTCGTTTTTTTTTGTGAACATTGTAAACAATACGAGAAAAAGGGTTATCGCCTATCGCAGTACAAAAGGGAGAGTAAACAAGTAAATAAGATGCAACCACTCTGTAAGAACGCAGATCTTAAGAAATTTTGAAACATCATCT